TTGCTTGAGGTTGTAGCACCAGAAGGGAGATTTGTTTGTAGCTTCCACCTAGGGCTCCTTCCCTTACATCTCAGTGTCCGTAGACATCACAGGGGGAGTTGGGGATGGCAGCATTTCAGACAGGAACACTAACTGTTGATGCCTAATTACTGAAAGCAGGACCAGGCAGTGAGCACAGGGAAAGGTAGATGGGTATGGTGGGGAATGCTTGTAATCCGATTGCCTCTGTTGTCTCTATCACATAGAAAGCAGATCGGTGAGGATGGGGGAGGCAGTGTTGGAGGTTTGATGAGAAAGAAGACGATGTGAAAGAATAATACATAGGTGGCAGAGTATTAGGTAGTACTCAGAGCCTGCTCCAGGTTGATGGTGAGAGATTTAAAATGAGACCAATCATTGTGGTTGCCAACTGCATTCATTTGTGCAAATGTGGAAATGGGGCCTCAGGGTGGTTGTGTGTAACCAGTGTTGGAGTGTTCTGACAAGTTGATAAAGCAGCAGAGGGAAGAGAGAGTTGAGGTTATGTGAGTGTGATTATATTAGTGGACCACAGCTTAATCTGAGTAAGGAGGGGAGAGAGTACGTGAGGTGGGTGAGGGTCAGTGAAACAGCGGTTGGATGAATGGATTTAAGTCTCAGTAGGGTAGGAAGTTGCTTGGCATCAGGAGGAGTGAGCTGGGAAGCCCCATATTGGGATTCTTGAAATTGTGACCGAGGAGGGATTGTAGATATTGGAATCTAGGCTATGACCGTGGGAGTGAGCGGGGAGGATGGGATCATGGCATTGAGTGGTTTTAGAATTAAAAGGATCATCTTAGTGGCAACCGAAATCACCAAAAATTATGGAGCAGTATCAGAGAGTATGCCAGGATTGGGACCCAGGTGCCACAGTTAGGTGGAAAGCTGGGACTAGCACTTAATAAAAACATCATTTAAAGGACCCTTGTCCATGGCAGATATAGTTGCTTCTTGCACTGGGAGAGCCATTGTGAAGGGATCTTCCAGATCATTGGTCTGGCTGGCCATGCAGGGTATTACCATTCAGTTGGGTCTGGTTTACACAGTGGAAGGAATGCCCAAGGAACTGGTCAAGTCAATGCCCAGCCCAACACCAAGACTGAAGGAAAAAACCCTGCAACAGCTGCTGTGTCTTAGGGAAGAGAAGAGTTGAGAGAAGCTGAGAGCTTAGGAATTGCCAGTGCTTAAGAACTCTGCATAAACTGGGGATTGTGGGAGGCGGAGAGAAAAGGAAAGGCAAAGGGAAGATCACTGATTGTCCTCAGCATACACAATCTGCATGTGAGTCCTGTGGCTGCTGTGTTTCCATGACAGTGATGCTCCTCTGGGGCATAGATTGTGTGTCTCCCTGAGGCGGGGGGCCCAGCTGTTTCCTATGCTGGCCCTCGATGCCCCTGCCATCTGTAGCTGCCCACAGAGGAGGACAGTCTTCAGGGTCTTGATTTGTCAGAAGGAAGACATGAACAAACAGACTTTCTTCTGAGTTTTGATTCTACTAATTTCCCTAAACTAAGAATATGTGACTGGCTTGCCCAGTGCAAGACAGAGAATGCTGGAGGCCACACGTCTAAGTGGAAGTTAAAGAGACTGAAGGTTCCATCCTGTCACAGGGTTCATTGGGCCTGACACTGTGCTTGAGCTCCAGCCAGCACACAAATATTTACAATCTTAGCTGAGGCCTGTTACTGCCATCTGCACCTCAGGGCAAGACCCCTCTTCCTCTAGAGAAATTGGGGTGTCTCCTTATTAGAGTATTTACATTTGACTCAGGCAACTAGTAAATTTACCTTAGTTAACAAATGCCTGTATGATGCTAAATGTCAGAAATTGTTCTGGGCACTTTATATTAACTAGTTTCTCTTCATAACCACCTTACTAGGTAGATACAAATATTACCATCAGTCTCATTTTATAGATGAGGAAATGGGGACACCATTGATTAAGGGACTTGCTCATGGTCAAAATGCAGTTGTTAGCTAAGCTAGAATTTGAAATAGGTATGCTGGTCCTGAATCCATGTCCTAACAATTGTGCCCTGCTGCCTCTTGATGTGACCAGGGTGGGGTCTACAGTGCGCACCCGTGTCCTTTGAATCTCAGTTCCCTTTCTTACCATTCAGGACCCTCCAGAGCAGGAAGTCTCTTTGACCTGACCTACCTAGAAACATGGTGACGTGGGCTTAGTGGTCCCGGGCTCATTTCAGTACCTATGTGGGGTTACTAATGTTATTCTATGCAATTAATTGTTCACATTGTAATCAACACCTGTCCTAAAATTTGGCTCCTCAAAATTTGGCATGGTTCAACCTCGGAACCATGCCAAGAATTAACTCTGGGTACACTTTGTACCAATTTTGAGTACTAGAGATGACTCAGAGGCACCATGTGTGTTATTTGAAATTATTAAACTAATAGTAAATAAAATGTAATTTTGCCCAAAAGAGAGAGAATGTTGCATGTCTCTCTTCTCTCTTGATTGCCCTTTCTAGGCGTCTAGGAGCATATGGGACAAATCATGATTTCTAGACTTTTTCTTGAATTAAGACATATTTTTTAGCTGCCCATAAACCACCACTTTTCAACAAAAAAGAATCAGATTTAAACCCCACTCGGTGGGGTCACCTTCAGTGAACTTAATAGAAAAAACATAAAAAACCACATGGAGGAGAGCTGTTCCTTTAATGCAGGGGTTATTCATAGTGCAGTGTTTGGGTACTTTTTGGAGCCAATTCTAGTTGCCTCAGAATATTTCTAAACTGGATTCCAGGAATAAAGTGCTTATAAATAGTAAGCATAAAAAATGAATTTGTCCGTCCCAGCTACTCCCTCATGCAGTCCCACTGGCCTCACTTTGTAGCTACCAAGTCCTTGGAGCAGTTAGCGGGTTGAGATAAGTTGGTGGTTCTCAACCTCATCAGACCCAACACCTATTTTATAACAAATGTTTTACAACCCCTTTTATAATCCTTAAATGAAATTCATGAATAATAAAATCTATGTACAAAAAATTTTCCAAAAATAAATATAATGCCTTAACAGTGATTTAAAAAGCAATAAGAAAGTAATTTATAATGATATAATAACTATTTCAATGTGTACATATTCTGGTAATATTAAAATAGGGGAAATATGGTTCAACAGGCATTTGCAGCCAATGTAGATTCACCAGAATGTAACGTATGTAAGACCAGTTTAGACTAATGCAGATTCTGTTTCGGTGATTCAAAGACCATGAGCAGCATTGCAGACAGTGACATGATTCTCGAAAATTACAAAAAAATGGTAAAATTTCTAAGGAACAATGTAAAATTTTCCCTCAATTTATATGGCAGTTATGCACCTAGAAAATTCATCATGTTAAAATTGTACAAGCTGATCTGTTCTGATTTGTAAGTGGAGCTAGCAGCTAGACTCAGATAATTATAAGCAGATTTTCACCTATGTAAATGTTCAACAAGACATTGAAAAGTTTGGAGGACGTGGGGAAATTTCTGGTTTGCAGAGCTGTCTGAACAGGGTTCTATGCCAGCCTTCCTAGCCCTGCCTTCTAAATGCCAGTAGTGTCCTCACTCATTGTGCCACTCAATTGCCACAGATTTCCCTAAATGCCCTCTATTGGGAGATACCCCCCTGCACTGACAACCACTGGGTTAATGCCTAGTATTAGATTTAGCCCCAAATAATTATGTTGATGTGTTCTCCTGACTTTGTATAGTCCTTGAAAACTAAAGGCATGTTTACAGTAAACCCCTCAATAACTGGGTTATTGGGTTATATGTGGAGACTGCACGTTCCATGAGAGCAAGGGCTCAGTTCACCCAGTGTGCAAGATATCTGATACCCAACACAAGTCCGGGCTTTCCTAAGTCTTGCTCAAATGAGTAAAGAAGTTTTGGGTTGGACATCTGGGTTAATAAAAAGATATATACTATTTAAAAGAAATAATTTTGTTACTTTCAAGTATATGCAGGACCTACATGGCTCACTGGGAGACTTGTGGTTAGGGATTATTTTTATTTCATTTTCTTTTTTGTTTTGTTATTCCTCACCTGAGGATATTTTTGCGTTGATTTTCAGAGTGGAAGGGAGGGGGGAGAGAGAGAGAGAGAGAAACATCAGTGTGAGAGAGACACATCGATTGGTTGCCTCTTGCACACGCCCTGACTGGGAATCTAACCTGCAACCCAGGTACATGCCCTTGACCGTGAATCAACCCTTCAGTGTGTGGGCTGACACCCTAACCACTGAGAAACAATGGCCAGGGCAAGGATTATTTTTAAAATACCATTTCAATGGTTTCTGTTTGAATAATGAGTGACATTAAATTTTTTTAGAACGTCTGGAACCAGAAGCCCCGGCACCTTCATGTCATTCTGAGCGGAGAAAGGGAATGTGTGGAGGACTCACATGAGCCTCGACCTTGGCTTAAAAGTTTCGCTTCATCTGAACAGTAATCTGTGAGGCAGCTGTTATTACCTCAGTTTTTACAAGTGATGAAACTAAACTCAACAAGACAAATAATCTGCCCAAAGCCAGACAGTTGTTTCAACAGCAGAACGAGGTTTGAACCTGAACTGTCTGATTCCAGAAGCCCCACCTTCCCCAGCCAATCATGCCGCCCCTCTCTCTCAAGGGGGCCTAAGCTACGTTTCTGTTCAAGCCACGTGTGCAGGGCCATGAATTATGGTGATGTGAGGTCCGCCTTAATATAGTTTTACTCTGTATGTCGCTCCAATTATCATGTCTATTAAATTTCTGTTTTCTCCGGGTTCAGTGATTTTTACATTGATCCTGATCTTGGTTGGGTTCCAGCATTCAAGCTCTTACGTAAACTGGCATTAGTGAGATTCTTGAGGACAGAGACTAGGTCCTCCTCGTTGTCTTTGGGTCCCCAGGGTCTAACCAGGTGCCTGCACAAAGTGGATGGATATTCAGGGAGCGTGTGTTGAGTCGACTTTAATTGAATGATGTTTCTCCTTTTAGGCCTTGGCCTTACACAATATTTCAGCGAGGCTTTGACCTGGTTTTGGGAGAACAGCCTTCTGATAAAATATTCAGGTGAGTGGTTGTCTAGGGACTTGCTTATGTATGTCTTCAAGCCCCCTATCCCATTTCTACTGAGCTTGCTTTCCTAGCTGTAAAGTATAAAATGGCTAATACCTTGAATTGTCTTCCTGCCCTCCTAGTAGCAAAAGCGTTTATCCCCCAAACACGCCCCGTGGCAGCATGGAGGCCTTTGCAGTCACACGGATTCTGTGTGGGTCCTGGACTCCTCCCTTGCCTGCTCTCTGAACCGCAGTAATTCACTTCACCTCTTGGAGCCTCCAGTTTCCACATTTGTTAAATGGGGCTGTATTACATGCCTGGCTCTGTTGTTATGAGGAACATATGAGGTTATGCAGGGAGAGCCCCTGGCACAGAAACTGGCACAGAGCACGCAGTCACTGTCCCCTTCCGCCTCTCCATCTAATTCACACCTTCCTCATAAAGTCTTAAGTTGTTCAAATGAATCCTTCCAGCCCTGCCTCCCCCTTTTCTCAGCTCTACTTCCTTATTATTTTCTCTTACCTACCACCCTCCTGATCAAATTGGATGTTTCTATTCCCTCCCAGATTTCTGCCTACATACCTGGGAATAGCACATATTAGAAAAGCCAACAAGCAGAGGAAGAATTTGCGTTCCGGCCGTGCACTATTGGATTTTCATAAAGTTTAATTCACACCAAGATTTAGCAGGAACACTTTATTTCCAAACTCAGATCTTATCATCCATTTATTTTGTCAATCTCTCCTTCACTTAACACGCATTTGCTGAGCACCCACTACGTCCCAGAGACTGTGCTTGGCCTGGCACTGTGGGTATGAATACATCGCCCTCCATGAGGGCGCCCTCTGGTGGAGAAAGTAAATAGTTCTGCAGGAGTGTCTGATGTCAGAGGACACCTAAGCTACCACATGACATTAGGGAGGAATGGCGAGCAATGCTTCCTTTCACTGCTCTCAGCGCACTGAGCCTCACTCACTCACTGCTGCCTTTGCCGCACCTCCCCCAGGCCCGCCTGTCAGCCAGCCCTGGCCTAGGTGTTAATGTTGCTCCTGGAGCTGGCTCCTCTGCCCCAGCTTCTCCTCCCTGTGGCTGGGGATGGAATAGGCTTGGCCACGGAGGTGTTCTCCTAAGGCGTGCTCTCAGCAAGAGTGTAGATTCACAGAATCACCACCTCCTGGGGCTTTGCATCCGAGCTTGTCTCTCCTGGGGCAGGCTGACTCACGTTCATGGCATTGGCTTCAGCCTTCTTTTGAGGATTTGTCCTACAGGAGAAGCCAGCAATATTCCTTAGACTATGACTTGGACATTTAAACTTTCCAACAATGATTTATCATTTGGCTGACCCCCCTCTTTTTTTTTTTTTTTTTACTGCTGATCTTCTAGGATCTTCCAAGGGTGATAAAGACAAGGCAGGTGAGAGCCTGTCTGGTAGAGTTGGGCTGATTAACATGGATAGGATCCTGCTCCCCTAAAAGTCAGAAACTAACATTTTGAAAATCAAGGTTGTTAATGAAATTGCTGTTAGAGCAGAACTTGCACCATCCCCACAAGCACCATTTATTCTCTTCGAGTTCGTTAGCTGCCAACTGGATGTGACACCCGAGCACTGCAGACGGGATCGGCTGTGTGGCTTGACCCATGCAGTCAGCTCTCTGGGGAACCAGTGTGTTCATCAATAAGTGATTAATCATTGTGGTCGCTAGCAAGACAGTAACGAACCTCTCAGGTGAAATCAATGGGCCATGATTTCCTGATTTCAGGTATTAAGAACTTGAACCAAAACCACTCTGAGATCTGAGTAAACCAACTGCCAGTGGCCACTGGAAAATCCTGTGACCTGCTCAGTCAGCGACTGTCGTTTCTTAAAGGAACACATGACCACTCACTTGCTGCTCTGTTCTCCAGTGATTTAGCGTTCTGATGCAGTCCACGCCACTGCACATTTCCCTGGACTGGGGAAGAAAATTTAAATTTTGACATTCAAATCCTTCCACAATTGAATGCCAATCTGCAACGCCCTTTTAATCGGCTGCTTTTCTCTTATAGAACCTTCCATTCTTATAGTCGGATCTATCTTCTAACTGGCGCACTGCTTCCAGAGCTTGAATATTTTTCACTCTATATTTACCCCTACTCTTCCATCCAGCAAGAATGCAGAGCCTCTTCCTTAGATAAACACTGCCCATTTCCATGGCCTAGACCAAGTCTCTGCTCAACTCAACAGCTGTTGAGGACTTGCTATTTATTCCAAGGTACCGTTTTAGATGCTGTAGATGTGACCAAGCAAATATGGCCAAGATAGTCCCTGACTTCAAGCAATTTACGCTCTCATCCAACAGTCATTCTCCAACCTTGGCCCTCCATGAGAATCCACACTGTGCTTTAAAATGACCAGTGCTCTTACCAGCACAAACCAATTCATTCAGAAGTTCTGGGAGGTGGGACCAGGGCATGAGTATGTGTTTTTAAAGCACTGTGGTAATTCTGATCTGTACTAAATACTACTCTAAAGCTTCTCCAGTCCACTGCACCTATCCACAATGACTTTTCCCCCTCCAAATTTCTGTAACGTACTGGCTGTAATATTTTTTGTCATTCATTTTATTCCATATTTATTTTAATTTGCCTATTTGTTTCTACAATGAAATGGTTGTCTCATTGAGGGAAGGGGCAGTATTGTATGTGGCTTTAAATATTTAATATCTCACATGAAATTTCAAATACAGTAGGTCTTCAACAAATATCTTAGATGATCATTTCGGGTATTTTCTGAGGACTTGAAGCCAGATTAGGAAAAGACCTGATACTCAACCTAACCTTGGTAATCTGCAATCCTAAAGAACCTGGGAAGGTCCAAGCTAGACTCAGAGGGTCCAAGGAGAAAGACTGAGTCTTCTCACCAAGCCCAGTCTAGTGCCAAAGATGTTCTTTCCATGGTGGCTCAGATCACTTCATCCTATTGGACCCTCTGGTGGCAGGAATTACTTCAGACCAGATTTATCTTTCAGAAACCTTCCTCCCAAGTGTGTACCTATATCCCAGTGAATAATACCCCCTCCTGGAATGGCCTGCTCTAGGAAGGGGTGGAGATGCTCAGCCATGAGCTATCTGTCCATTTTCCCACATTCCATCTCATGCCCAGCCACAGTAGAGCATGGGCCTGTTCTGTCCACTGCTCTCTGGCGAACATTTGCCTCTGAACAGAAGTTCCAAGCTCTAGCTTAACAAGGCCGTGTACAGGACTCAGCCTGCAGCTGGGCCACCAACTGTGATGGTCATCACCAGCTGTCACTAGAGAAGGCCCAACCTGGGAAAGCATTCCAGATGCTCAGCCTCCCTTTGGGGGCTTTCTGAAGTCGTCCCTGCCAAATTTGCATGAATGAGGGACAGATGAGATTTCAAGGCACAGCTTTTCTCTGACAATGTGGGCTATATTTGGTTTTTGGAATTAGTAGATTTTGCAGATAAAAGAAAACTTTAGAATTTCGTAGGCATGAGCCAGCATGGGCTGGAAAGCTGCTGAGAGCCACACTTGAGAATCAGACCAACCCCATCTTCCACACTTACGGAGAGGTGACCTTGGGGAGACCACTGAACACCGTACAATATTAGCAGACAGATGTGTAAAATGGGGCCAAATGACCAACGTTGGAGGACTATTGTGAGGATAAATGAGGCAGCTGTACAGAATCCCTGCCCCTTCGGGAGTCCTCAGTAGAGGTTCGTCTCACCCCACATCTGTCTTGGCTTGCCCTACAGAGTTTCACCTTGACCCTACCAGAGATGGAAGATGGCACTGTCTCTTGGTACAGTGTCCTGCCTCACAAGCTGCTGTGCACTTTGGGAGTTCCTCCCAGTGTCCAACCCAGATGCACCCCGACCATTAAGTGCATTCCAAACCAGAGGTTAACCCATATCCTGCCCTAAAGGAAGGACAGTGTTTCCCACTGCTTCTACCTTACATTTGAAATTTGAGACTCTCTCTCGCAGTAGCCTGTGCAAACTAAAGAACAGTCTACTTATTGATCAGTCAATAAGTATTTATAGAGTGACCTCCTTGTGCAGGAAATTGTGTCAGGCAGTGGGGATACAAAGATGGCCAAACACTGTCCCCTGCCATCCAAGGGAGTACATTCTTCTGAGTGGCAGTGGACCCATGAGAAGGCAGCACAATTCATCGTCTCAGGAGCATGCTCACTGAAGATAATCCCTTGTTCAGCCTGAGGTTGATCATGAATGTCCTGGGAGGGCTTCCTGGAAGGGGCGGGACCTTAACTGAGTCTTAAAATGAGTGGGACTCCAGCAAAGAAGAAAGGGGAGAAATTTAGGAAGAAGAAATACTAGGAGCAAAGACAAAGAGGTAAGAAATGAGGGTGTGTTTAGGAGCTAGAGTCAGGTTGCTCTGTAGGAGCACAGAGTGTGACGTCTCTGGAGATGTGAAACTTGTTCTGTGGGCCCAGGGTGCCATTCACAGTTTCACTTGGGGAAAGACGTTTGCTTTTCCTTCAAACTATTACTGTGTGCAGAGGAGGAAGGGAGAACTGAGACCGATAGACATGGATCTCTCTCTCTTCCAAAAGAAAAATCCGCCGTCATGAAGTGCTGGAACTGCCAACCATTACCTAAAATCTGTCACATAAATGATGAGCTACAGGGCACAGATTTGTTGCTGTGCATCAGTGCAAAACTTCTAATTTTAAAACCAAAATAGAAAACAAAAACTCTGTGTCCCGATAAACTCTAACAC